TTCAGCCTCCGGCAGGCTCCCGAGGTGCCAAGATATAGGATGCTTTCTTTCCTTTTCTTCTTTTCCTGCTTTATTTAACTCTCGGGACAATGTTTCAGCACAGTGCGAGCCTGGCGCCTTTGCCCCCGGCTCTGATAAAGGCCGGCCGGAGAAGCGGCACCAGTTACCGTAACAAATCTTTGCAAACGTTTCCACAGAACGTCTCATCTTGCTCCATCTAGGGATTAGATTCATTTTTTTTTTGTCCCGTGAAAGCAGAGTTAAGAGTTTTAAATTTCTCATAAGTAAGAACCACGTTAGAAGTTACGTTACCCCTCGCTTTAGATAAATTATTGCGCTGTGGCTCCTTCGTTAATTCTCTACTTTCTAGAACACACACAGCACCCTGGCCTGAGAGAAAGGAATCCAGGCTATCACCTTGCAGGTGCACACGCGTCAGGAGGCCATTTGCAAAGTAAGTCGAGTGTTGGGAACAAAATTCACACTGAACGCCGCTGTACACGGCGTAAAGTAGAACCTGGAAAACCATGAGAGGAAAATAACCTTTCTCCTCGCCTCCCCTCTTCAATTCTGACACGATCCATCGATTCCAGCTGCTGCGAGTCCAGGGCACATCTTCTGTGCCCCCTTCCATCATCTGGAAAGTTTTTTTGCCATCATTTCGTACAGTTTTACAATGGGAATGTTCCCTGTTAGTTTATTTGTGTGTTATTTCTGGATGGGGTCTATAACCAGCCTATGAGAAAACACCAATTTATTAGTTTCATTTTCCACTCTAAGTAGGAAGCTCTCCACAGAGCTGTGTTGTTGTTTTTTTTTTTTTTAATTGCACATGTAAGTAACCTTTTTCCAATGAACCTACTACTCACTTGGTAATGGGGGGACAGGAAAAGTTGTGCAGGACTTTGCTCAAAGTGGTTGTTATTACTGAACTGTTGCAGGGGCATTACTCCCTCCCACTGATCCCCTGTCCAAATTCTGGAAAAAACCTGCACAAATATCTATAATTTTGTACTTACAAAAACCCAACAAAACCAAAACAATACCCTATTATTTCTGAATAAAGAACAAAAAAGAACACCTTTATGTTGAAGGAACTGTAGACAGAACATTCTCTAATCAATGCTACCTTTTGATTGTTTCAAGAACAAACTACGGAATTGATTGAAAACATTAACTGGAGCTTCTTCCCCAAAAGCAGGTGGAAGAAAAAAAAATAAGATTTTCAGCAGTGTCTATGTCAAACATAGAAAATTATACAAAATGTATATGAAATTGGTCTGCTTTTATTTAGAATCACTTTTTAGTTTTCAATTACCGCAGAACACTTACACAATCTCCATTACTATTCACAGATGCATTTAATTTTTCTTAGAAAACCACATTAGCCCTAAACTTGACCCAATCAACATTTCCTCCTTTGCCACAGCTTGCACCGATCTGACCAAGCTGGGCAGAATTATCACTTGACTATTTATCTGACTAATTATTATATCTGATCCCAACAGCTGAACCGAGAGCAAGGGAAATCTTTTCTAGCAAAACAGAAATTTGCTCCTGTGGCACTGGAGAGAATTCTGTCCCCCAGGCTCACGTTTCAAAGAGAAAGCACTCACTGCAGAGTTAACTCACAGGTTTTATTTACACTTGTCTACAGAATCGTTACAGTTTATCTAAGCCAAATGAAACCATAATTTTCCTTTGTCTGCAGCCTATTGTTTGCTAAATTTAAAACCTTCCATCTGTTAAGTACAGCAACGATTTTAATACAAAGCACAAGAAAATAACCCAAAGGCTAACAACATCGCATCTATCGGATCTGATTTTTACAATTTAGTAGTTGGACTTCGAAGTCGTCAGAGGCAGTTACAAGACTAACCTGCTCTTGTGCAATCTACACACATTTAGCACTGAAATTAGATATAAAAGAAAGCATTAAAGAAGAAACTGCAGAGCATTTTTTTCTGCAAAAAGATTATCAAAGTAGTGTTTCTACACCAAAAACATTTTGCTTATCTACCAGTCCAAAAGAAGCGTCTTTAACAAAAAAAAAGGAAAAAAAAAAAAAAGCAAAATGTAGTTTTGAAATTTTGCTCCGTTTGTTTTTGTGCAGTTCATTAAAGAAAAGCAGCGGTCAATTATGGAAGTTTTACTACTGAAATAAATGCAGATATATTGCTGTTTGCTTGCATAAAAAGATTTTTCCTTAACATACTTACCTTGTGACGGCACTGAAGATACTTAAACCTTTCTTAACCAAACGGAGCTCAAGAGAGACCAAGTTTTAATGGGATATTGCTAGTAAAATAGATTCAATAAAGCATTTTAAGCCATAAATTAGGTTTAAGGGAAGAAGAATGACTGGTGAACACATTTAAGATGTGAGAACTCTCTATGTAGTTTATTAATTCTTGTTTTTAAATATAAATAAAATGCAGATACCTTGAAAATTTTAGTCAGCCCCAAACGAATTTTACAGGCAGTGGAAGCTTCACTTGATTCCAAGAAGCTAGTTCCAGATTCCTCCATCCCAAGAGACGTTCCTACACGATCCTTTTATAAACTAGGATCGTGGAGTCCAGGGTCCAACGGGAAAGCTTTGCTGACCGCAACGAGTCACTGCTAAGTGAAACTTCGAGGAGAAAATAATCTCGAGGCACGGGCAGCTACAGGGCTTGAGGAATAGAGAGGACAGAGCTCAACGTCTCCAATGTCCTCGCTTCGCATGAACAAGCCTGACTCAGAGACTCTAACTCACTCTCTACAAAATCGCATGACAGACTGAATGTTTAGTAGCTATTTTGCACTGAGCAGAGCTAACGAGAGGGGTACTCATCTCTATTTTTACTTCGGCATAGAAAAAAATAAAAAAGAATTAGACCTAAGCCCTCACTACTGTCATCCAGCTAACACTAGCCCTATAGCTACGCTAATCACTTGTGGTCCCATATGAGCTGCAGCAAACAAGCTCAGGGGTCGGATGCAGAAAGCTCACGGTTCTTCCTGAATTCCTTGGATTTTTAATTGTCCCAAGAAGAGCAGAGCTGTGCTCGAACACATCCAACCTGCACCTGCTCAGACACACGCGAGAGAGCCAGGAATCGAGGAACTGAGTCTTTAAAAATAACACCATCCCCTCTGCACTCAAACAATAAAACTTCACGCCTCCTCTGGGGAGTTTATGGCTTAAAATGCTACCTCACGTTTTGCTTCATGAATGAACAAAGCTGCAGTTTTCCAGCAAGCAAGGACAGACATGCACCTCTACTAGCAGATTTAGCACTTCTGACCAAGTAAGACACCAACTTCTTAAAAATGTCTCATGCACTGACTGGATTTTTTTTTTTTTTTTAATCTGAGCTTTACTGCATTATTTCTTTTTAGAACTTGTACGGGAACCAGAATGGGAAGATCCAGATGATGATCTGCGGCGTCTGTAAGATACAAATGGAGAAAGCATGCAAAGAAATAAGTTGAAATTAATTTTAGCATTCACTGCGAGTAGTCTGTATCCTACAATAGCTGGAAGCTGGGGGGGGGGCTTCTAAGAATATAGAAATAACTTTAAACCACTTTAAGCTCAGGACAGTGAATTTAATACTACAAATTTAAGTTTAATTCTGAAAATAGGATACAATTTCTAAGCGCAATAGTTACTTATGAAAATAAATGAATAATGTACACACTAACACTTGCACACACTGAAAGAATGGCAAGCCAGATTTTTCTATGGAACGTGCTCCTAGCAGGAGTTGTCATTGGAGAGGGGGGAGAAAAAAAAAAAAAAAAAAACCAAAAAAAAAAAAAAAAAAAAAGCTCAATTACGGAGGTTTTAATAGGAAGTAAGAGTAGGGGAGGTGAGAAAACTACTTTTAGTATCAGAATAACTGATCAGATTCAATTCTTTCCCAGTGAACCTCAGTCCTTCAGAAAAGAAATAAAATAATAATAAAAAAATAAATCACACATTTAAATACACCCATTCTTATTCTACATAAACCCAAACCTTTCGGGTGACCGTGATCTCGATCGTCTTTTTTTGCGATCACCAGATGAAGAGGATCTAGAACGACTTCGCTTCTTGCTTCTCTCAGGGGAAGAGGATGAACGAGAGCTTGAGTAAGATCTTTTTCTTGGGGTGGAAGACCCCCTGTAGGACCTGGAGCTGGATCTTTATTGATTAAGAAATAAATCATATTTAATTCTGGTATAACAGAGGAATAACAAAGAAAGAACAAAAAGAGACAGTTCTCATGAACGCTCACTGCTCTAGTGACATCAGCGCTCTGTCAAATAACCGTGTGGGTGCTTTAATACTTACTCCTTAGTTATCTGCCAATAAAGACTTCTACTGCAGTAGTAATTTCCTTAGTCAATTTTGCTAGTGTTTCTTGATATACAGACCAGGGATGGTTTGGAAACCTCTTTCCCACACTCCCTAGAACGATGCTTTTGGACAGAGAAGCAACGCGAGGCCAGGCCAGGCCGTAGCACTCACAAAGCGAAACAGCTGGAAACCTGCAGCCGTAACGCTGACTTCATGTTTCCAGTGTGAGATATCCATTAATGAGATGAGATTTACCAATCCCACCTCATACTGGATGAGATTTACACTGCCTTTGTTCATCTTACTGGAACAGTAAATGCCCCCACAAAGTACCTTTACAAATCTGCAAGTAAGTTTGTGTAGAGAGTAAGACCTTCCACAACCAAAATGTTTTTAAAAAAAACCTTTTAGAATACACTCCTTTTGGTATTAAAACAACAAAAAAAAGAATCGGCTTCATTTACAAGCACTCAAAAATCACTTTGGTTACCTAAAAACCCCCCAAGTGTGGAAAAAGTAATAGAGCTAGGAAGTCCTAAACTGCAATCTCAAAATTATATTAAAACACCTAACGGGATTTCTTTTTTTCAGCAAGCTGGGTAAACCATTTTAAAAAATGCCATTTCTTTTTTAAATACAAAAGCACAACAATATCATTGATTGGTCAAATATTTTCAGGGTTCTCACCATCAATCCTAAAGCAGCCCTATTTCACCCAGGCTAACAGGCTGGGGACCCTCACGTGCGCCGCCGGGTGCAAGCGAACGCACACCGTTCACAATTCCCCACCTCAAGCTTCCTCATTTACAGTTTTAAGCTTCTCTGCACACGCAGAGGTGGGACAGCTCTTCATCCTGTCAGAAAAGGGAACTCCTGCCTGTGCCAGGACAGCTGGAGGAACTGCCACGTTTCTGGTAGGCGCAGGTCAGCTACCTCCAAATCCTGCCAGCTTCTCGTGCAACTTACTACCAACATTTGGCGTCGGTTCCCCCCACATTTATAAAGGCAACAGCAGCACTATTTAGACAGTTAGATAAGGTATCACTAAATACAAAATCAGAAGCACAGCGTATTTGCTAATGTTCCTCCATATCAAGCAGTCAAAGTGGAAATGGTAAAACCAGCAAAAATTACGGAAACAAGTAAACATGCATTGAAAGTCTTCTTCCTTCAAAGTGATGATCTGTGGCGTCCACTCGTCTAGCTTAGATCAGCCTTAAACTCTTCAACCAAAACCTCGCATTCTCAAGAAACACATCTGTAGTGGCAACAACCTCGTGCAGAGACCCAAGGAATTCTGACTTCCAAGATAAAAACGAGTTAATGCTTTTTGACTGGCATAATTTTACGATGAAATCAACAAGCGGTTGGTTCTTCTGCACTTTTTTCTCTCTGCAAGCAGAGAGTGCTACCTCATTCACCTTGATTTCGACCCACGAGATCTAGAGTGTTCTCTGGAACTGGAACGAGATCTTGATCTGGAACTGGAAGAACTTCTGGAATGGGACCTGAAACAACACGGAAGATTTTTTTTTCCAGTGTCTGACTTGTATTTAGCAGAGTACAACAGCAGAGACAATGATACATCGATACAGTTTGGCTTCCTACTCCTCCTGGTACCACCACGGCACGTTTTAAACCAGAAACTTGAACACAGTAGGGTAGTGCATTACAAAAAAATTATCAAGTCAGCTTTTTACTGCGTTTCCTAAAACAAAGCACAAAAATTAAACAGGAGCACAGTTGTGTGGCAAAATGAAATAACTACACATTTGTTAACTGTTTCCTAAAACCAATGTCTTCACACTTCATTTGTGCCTTAACTCGAAAACCACCAGTTTCTCTGCAAAGCAGAGCAGGCCAGAGTATGAGGACTAGCGAGCTCAAATGTTCCTCAATTAAGTTCTCACAAGCATTTTGCTTAAGCAGTTTCAATTTTTCGTTAAAAATTAAGGAGGAGTTAATTCTTGGCTGAGATGTGGACACAGCTAACGCGACTTGTGACTAGTCATAATTATTTTCAAGTTTTTCCCATTGCTGGATTTTCTTTAAAGCACAAACCACAAAAGATACGTAAAAACGGTAGCAGGCTTGCGGTAACCATTGTAAAAAGAACACATTGCAATCAAATTCTAATAACCTTTTTAGGAAAAATGCTCTATACATGCTGTCATTCTCCTAGCTTATATCGTTACCACATCTTTTTCATTGTACGGTGCAAAACAAAAGCAGTATGAACAGACTAACTAGAAAACACATTTAGACCTTTTTAAAAACTGCAGAGAAGTATCCATAAATAGCACCCGCTTTTTCCAATTAATAATGTGTCGCTAGAAGAAAGAAGTTCAACAGAAAGCTGAGGCAGATGCTTAGCAAATTTTGGGTTCGATGAGCTACTTTTTCACTCTTAATGTTTGCGAATTAAGGAGCAAAATTACAGCCAGATTAAGTTCTTCCCTTTGTCTGACCATCTCCCTGCTCAATCTAAGAGCTGCACTCAAACGCAGCCCATGCTGGTCCTACACGGGACAACAAGGCCACTGCCTTGGAGATCAGCCTCCACACTTGCCTTCATTTACAAAAACCGCCAACAGCCGGCCAGCTCAGCTGTTGTTATTTTCTTCTTGGAACCACGCGGCAAACGCCCATCTCAAGGTGGCGTTTGAAGGAGCGGAGAGGCCGACAAGAGGTGGCGAGAAGAACTTAATCTTTTGTAGAAGAGGCAGCATGAAGGAAAGCACGACAGCAATGGGGGGAAAGACAGAAGAGAGACAGCGGCTGACACCTGGTTAGTACGAGGATGGAAGTGTTTGGGCAGCAGCGAGGGCGGAGCAGAGCAGTTACAGAGCCGGGAGGACCACAAGAAACTTGAACTTTCTGTATACGCGCTTCACGTATAACCCTGCAAGCTAGCACCCACATGAGGTCTTCAGCCCATCAGATCACCGTTGTAATAGCTGTGAGGCAGCTAAAAAGCTACGATGGGATTTGCATCGCCTGATTGCAGAGCATTTCTCAAATCATTTCTGTATTACTGAATGTAAATAATGATGCAAGATCTTCAACCTACGCAGCAGACTTTTTTTTTGTGGCCCCACGATCAATATAAGCCTTTAGCATTACTCTGATAACATTGCCATAGCACTTGAAGCTTTGTGGCTCGCCATTGAACTGGAGTTCAAGTTTCTTGTCCTTATTTCCAGGATATTCTCCCTTCGCTGAATCTGGACTGCATCATCACTGCCCTCTCCTGCCACCACCTCCCACTTGAACAAAACCACCCTCGGCTCAGCATCGCTAAAAAACCCAAAAGTTCACCCACTGAATCACATATGGCCAATAAGCCTAAAAATAAAATTCAGAATAAACTACGTATTAAAATTTATTTGAAGGATTCAGTTGAAGCATTGACTTAAATCTACTACATCAAGCAAGAGGACATAAGAAGCCTCCCTGCTGAGGATCCACAGCAGCTCAGAACAGAACATTATCTACCTGTGTAAATTCTGTACATGAAATCATTAACATTATTAAACTAAAACTGTAAGGCAATCAAGAAAAAAAAGTAAATAAAGTTAGATACTGACATTTTGCCTGGTGTTACCCTTGACCTGTACCCGTTTACCTGGACCTAGACCTTGAGCTTGAATGAGAGGATGAGCGCGATGAAGATCGAGAATGGGAAGATCGAGACTTAGAACGACTGCGCCTATTGGATTTCTTTTTCTTATTAGTGTCCTCTTCTTCACTGGCATCAAGATTATATTTTGAAAGGTCAGCATCATCTTCATCCTCATCCTGAAGAACAAACGCAGATGTACAAAAAACCATGTAAGGAATACTTTGATAGTTTTCTTCAATTAGTGCTTCTTATTTGCTCTATGGTTATATTTTGTGCTTTTCTTCAACCTTTGAAAATACTGTTGTTAATGCATTTAACAAGATCCAAAAATTCTAAGACTAAAGAGTGACTGAAAAATTGTGTTCCAAAGCAAACTAGTGAAAAGCCTGCAAAAACCCCACCCAACGCCCCATTTTCTGTTATTTAATGAGGTTAACGAAAACACAGACATTCCCTTTTACCAGTTACTTATTATTTATGGTTTAAAAAGAAAAATATGTCTTTGAATGCAGATATTTAGAACATGCACACACGTTACAGAAGCAGTACGCACCATTATTCTGATTGCTACTCCTCTGCATTGCTCTAAAGGCAGCGAAAAGCGACCAAACCTTACCCAGTAATACTAAACAGCACCGTAGTAATAATTAGAAAATAACTGCTAGAAAAAACCCAAACACGTTACCTCATCCAATTTGTATTTGGAGAGATCTTCATCCTCATCCTCCTCATCTTCCCCTTCAGACTCCTTATCTTCTACTTCCTTCAGGATTGATGCAGGACCGACCGGCTTCCCTCTGTATTTTTTCTTTTTGCGTCCAAACTAAGAAATTTTATTCCGTTAGCACAGGATTTAATCAAAAGTAATTTCCAACTCTATTTTTGGATAAAGCTTCTATGAGAAAATAGATCAATTTCACAGAATCACAGAATGTTGGGGTTGGACGGGACCTCAAAAGATCACCTAGTCCAGTCCCCCTGCCAGAGCAGGATCACCTACAGCAGGTCACACAGGAACACGTCCAGGCGGGTTTTGAATGTCTCCAGAGAAGGAGACTTCACACCCTCCCTGGGCAGCCTGTGCCAGTGCTCTGTCACCCTCACAGTGAAAAAGTTTTTCCTAATAGTTTTTTGGAACCTCCTATGTTCCAGCTTGTACCCATTGCCCCTTGTCCTGTCATTGGACGCGACTGAGCAGAGCCTGGCTCCATCCTCCTGACACTCCCCCTTGACGTATTTATAAACATTAATGAGGTCACCCCTCAGCCTCCTCTTCTCCAAGCTAAAGAGCCCCAGCGCCTTCAGCCTTTCCTCACCAGGGAGATGTTCCATCCCTCCATCATCCCTGTGGCTGCGCTGGACTCTCTCCAGCAGTTCCCTGTCTCTCTGGAGCTGAAGGGCCCAGAACTGCACTCAAGATTCCAGATGTGGCCTCACCAGGGCAGAGCAGAGGGGCAGGAGGACCTCTCTCGACCTAATAATCTTTCAAATAAGATACTGCTTGAAGGGAAGTAGAAATATTACAAAACATTGATTAGCAGCAAGAAACTTTCTAAACAGATGCTTGTCTTAGAGACAATTAGTACCCACAGACAAAATTAATGGTAAAAAAGATTATTTTGTACTTAGGTCTCTGGGATATCTTTATTAAACAGCATTGAGTATCTGGCTGAAAACATGCATGGCCCTGAAGACACTTCCCTAAGAAGTTTTATGAACTCAGCTTGTACCAGTTTAATTTGAACTTGTTCTTAGTTTTTAACCCCCAAGCCCATAAACCAGACGCATTCTGAGTTCAGAGCTTTCACACAGGAGCATCTGACAAGGAGATGCCTCACATGGTGCCTCTGACTTGTGCTTTGCCCTGTAAGGAAACAAGAGTGGATGCACCCAAAACACAAATCACACCAGACGCCTCTACAGAGTAACACAGGTACCAAAACCTCACCTCATCGTACTCCCCGTCCGATTCTTCGCGTTCTATATACTCAACATTCTCTCGTTCATTAAATCCTCCTCCATATCCTTTAAAAAAAAAAAAGAAAAAAAAAGGTAAAACAAGACAATCTCTTGAGCTGCAAATTCAGCTACGTTAAGCATGAAGTTTAAAATGCGCTTTCAGAGGCTCTGGAAACCTTTGGTGGATTTATAAATGCCCGCTGTAAGAACATAATATGATCTCAGGGGGACCATGAATTCCTCCCACACACGTTTATTAAATATTGTACCTCAGAAACCTAATTGAGAAAACAGATTAAGACACATAAACAGCAAAGAAACAATAGCATTTAAAAGAACAGAAAAAAAAAAAAGCTGGGACATGAAATCATATATGGCTTCAGGGAGCAACAGGAAGCAAAGCAGCCTGTAGTTCCATCGAATCGTACAACTCCAAGGTCTGCCTTAAGAATCTTTCTGTTCCTTTTTATAAGGTGAGTGGAAAACCTCCACAGCTTGTTCTAATTTCAGTGACTCTGGTATTCACTGCAAGCGCGTGCGCCACGCTAGCTGTCCTGCACGTGACACCAGAACTTGAAAAATTAACTAAATGCTAAAAATATGTAATGATATTAATACTATGTGAAATACAACTCTGTAATACACTTAAAACATAAGAACTTTAAAAAATATTTTTTTCCTTTTTATCAACAAGCTCTGTGCTCTCCTCCTCTTTTTTATTTTTATGTGTTAGTGCTACACTCGGTGCATTAACCTCTCTGCCCGATCCCACGCGCGGTGGGAACGGCAGAAGCAGCCACAATTGCGCTGCACGGAAATCTGCTGCTCTAGTTACCACTGGCTTTGTTGTTGATGCAGGAGGAACTTTAAATATGTCACAGCATGACCAAACCTCAAACCTCATTAAGAGATAACAAGCCTAATCCAGCCAGCCCTCAAACACAGCTTGTGACTGCCGAGTCCTCGGGAGACAGACGCTCTACATACACTAGACCTTCTGAGTTTAATGAAATATTGTGTTATTGGTTCTACATATCTTAGGGTAAAAATCAAATTCGCAGGCAGTTTAAGCTGAATATTCACTGACTCTCCAAATGAAACCACCACATGCTTTACACGCTACTAAAAGTAATCAAGTAAAAGAGCCCAGAGATTTATTTACATAGAGATCATTCAACTTTGTTAGCTCTGCTGTAAAAACAATCACTTTAATTAAATTACACTGCGATTTATAAAAAGCTTTCTCACACTAATTTGAATGCCTTAAAACCACACACAACTTACCTGTCCTCTCCTCCAATTTTGCGTACTTTGGAGTATTACACATGTTACACTCTGACCTTCTGGCCCAGTTCACGTTGCCACATCTTAGGAGGCAAAAAGGAACAAAACAGAAACGAGAAATGTTTTATGTCAAATCAAAAAGCTTAAGTGTTGAGGCAACACTTCAAAAAAAAAGAATCGTAAGAAGTGTTGTGCTGAAAACTCAGCCAATACAAAGTAACTCCTAAGGCCAACAGTCTCTGAGACACAAAGAACTGCAGGACAGTCTCTGGGTGTTCTCACTGGTAGTCCTTCTCCAGTTTAGATCTTAATGTTCTCAGCTGATGGCTTGGAGAAACATCTAAGAACCTAACTATGTGCTAAACGCTACTCCTTAAATATCTAGGGAATGTTAAAAACAAAGCAACACAGTGCAATGAAGGTTTTACTTCCATCTAGGAATTTCTTCCAAACTTGAGAAGCATCTCTGCTTATCAAAGAAAAACATGAACTTTTACCTGCCCAGTCTTGATTTTTTTTTTAGTCTTTCTCCAGTCACGTTAATTAAGTAACTGCTGCCCAGCAAACAAAAATGAACACTACCCTCACAGCAAAACACTGAGTGGAACAGCTGCAAGTTTTAATCATTCTCATCAGTATAAGTAAATTTATACTGACAAACTTAAGTATCACACTGTAGATGTGTTGTGCGGCTCTAAGAAGACCCTGCATTTTGTTCAAAGGGCATACGTTTTACACTGCCAGTCGTTAGCACTGAAGAGGCCACGACTCTTTTCAGCAAGTGTCTTTCCTATTTCAGTCCCTCCAGCTTTCATCATTTTGGCTTCCGTCGTTTTTTCTGGAAAACAAAAAAAAACAGAACAACGAAAACCAAAGAGATCTCTAGCATCCTGTTTTATGGGTGATTAAAAAAATACATATGTATTATTTAGAAGAGCAGAAATATATATATGTACTATATATATACATATATATGTACTATATATACACATACACACGTATGTATGTACTATATATATGTATGTATGTATTATTTAGAAGGGCATTAATATTATTCAGAAGGGC